AGTGTTCTGTTTTATTTGAAGGAAAAAGCCCACACTTGAACGGAAAAGATCGGCGAAACAAAATGGCGTTAGAATTAATGGAGGCAATCAATGCAAAGATCTTCTTACATTTCTTCAGACACTACGTGACAGACGACAACAGGGTGAAAAGAAAAAGTAAAACAATGGTTGCTGGGTGAGAAAGTACGGTGTGGGCGGTGAATCGAGTCTTGTCTTTGATCTTCTCTGGGACCTGTGTGGTTGGAAAGAGGAGAGAGGTTAAAGGTAGAAGACAGTGAAGTAGATAGAAGGCTGGGGACCAGGGCGAGGCGCACATTTTTGCAACAAGTCTTTACTTCATTTGAGAAGTATATTGTTGTTTCTTCTCGACAGAATGAAATGCACTTTTCCGTTTTAACGTTCGCCTCTAGCTTGGCTTTCTGAAAACAAATCGATTTAGCAAAACAAAACACGAACGCAATTTCTATTGTATTTTTCTGCCTTCCTTTCTTTTCCCATTACTCTCCTTTTAATGATTTTGCTTTGGCAGATCTTTTTTTTGTTCTTTTTCTTCTTGCATTCCCCGTGTTCATTCGTTCTTTCTTTATTCCTTTTTCTTTCTTTCTTTTTTCTTTCTTTCTTTTGTTTGTGTACTTGTCTATTTCTTAAGGATATACAATCTTTCTTTTTACAGTTTGTGCTTTCTTTCACATGTTTTTTTCTTTCGTATATCTAATTTCCGTTTCATTTTTTTTTGCTTGTTCTTTCTTTCTTTTTTCTTTCTTTGTTTCTTTCTGTTTTTCTTTCTTTCTTTTTCTTTCTTTTTTTGGTTTATTTTTTATTTCTTGTAGATATTCAGTCTTTCTTTTTATACTTTGTTCTTCTTCCATTCTCATATTTCTTGTGTCATTTTCCATTTCCTTTTTTCTGCTTGTTCTTTCTTTCTTTTTCTTTCTTTTCTTTCTTTCTTTCTTTCTTTCTTTCTTCTTTTCTTTCTTTCTTTCTTCCTTCTTTTCTTTCTTTCTTCCTTTCTTCCTTTCTTTCTTTCATCCTTTCTTTCTTTATTTTTTTTGTTTGTTTATTTTCCTTTGCGCGTTTGTTGTTTACTTGTTTATTTCTTAAGGATACTTTTACAATCTTCGTTTTTATATTTTGTGCTTTCTTTCACATGTTTTTTTTTCTTTTATATATCTAATTTCCGTTTCATCTTTCTACTACTTCTTTCTTTCTTCTTTCTTTCTTTCTTTTTTCTATTCTTTGTTTGTTTGTTTGTTTGTTTGTTTATTACTTGAGTATATACAATCTTTCTTTTTGCACTTTGTTTTTACTTCACGTTTTTTCTTTCTTATATCTAATTTCCATTTCATTTTTTCTTTCTTTCGTTCATACATTCATTCATTCTTTCTTTCTTTATTCCTATCTTTTTCTTTTGTCTGTTTACTTGTGTATTTCTTGTGTATATGAGGATATACAATCTTTCTTTTTACACTTTGTGCTTTCTTTCACATGTTTTTTTCTTTAATATATCTAATTTCCGTTTCATTTTTCTGCTTCTTCTTTTTTGTTTCTTTCGTTCGTTCTTTCTTTCTTTCTTTTGTTTGTTTGTTTACTTTTTTATTTCTTTAAGATATTCAGTCCTTCTTTTTGCACTTTCTTCTTCTTCTCTTCTCATTTTTCTTTTCTTTTATCTTTTTCCGTTTCATTTCTTCTGCTTCTTCTTTTTCTATTCTTTCTTTCTTCCTTTTGTTTGTTTACTTGTTTATTTCTTGAGGATATACAATTTTTCTTTTTTGCATTTTGTTCTTTATTTCACATGTTTTTCTTTCTTATATTTAATTTCCGTTTCATTTTTCTACTACTTCGTTCTTTGTTCTTTCTTTCTTTTTTCGATTCTTTCTTTGTTTCTTTCTTTCTTTTGTTTATTTATTTGTTTATTACTTGAGGATATACAATCTTTCTTTTTGAACTTTTTTCTTTATTTCACATGATTTTTTTCTTTCATATATCTAATTTCCGTTTCATTTTTTCACTTGTTCTATCTTTCAATCATTGATTCATTCATACTTTCTTTATTTATTTATTCCTTTCTTTTTATCTTTTGTTTCTTTACTTGTTTAGTTCTTGAAGATATACAATGTTTCTTTTTTTACATTTTGTGTTTTCCTTCACGTGTTTTTTCTTTCATTTATCTAATTTCCGTTTCATTTTTTCTTTCTTCTTTCTTTCTTTTTTCTTTCTTTGTTCCTTTCTATTTTTTCTTTCTTTTTTGCTTACTTTTTATTTCTTGAAGATATACAATCTTTCTTTCTACACTTTGTCCTTCTCTTTTCATTTTTCTTGTATCGTTTTCCGTTTAATTTCTTCTGCTTGTCCTTCTTTTTCTTTCTTTCTTCTTTTCTTTCTTTCTTTCTTTTGTTTGTTTACTTGTCTATTTCTTAAGGATATACAATCTTTCTTTTTACACTGTGCTTTCTTTCACATGTTTTTCTTTCTTATATCTAATTTCCATTAAAATTTCCATTAAACTTCTTATATCTAATTCCTTATATCTAATTTTCATTAAATATCTTATATTAAATTATATTAAATTTCCATTAAATATCTTATATTAAATTATATCAAATTTCCATTAAATATCTTATATTAAATTTCTTGTATCTAATTTCCATTAAATTTTCCATTAAATTTTTCCTGCTTCTTCTTTCTTTTTTCATATCTTATGTTCAGGCGGATCACATTAAAATGCCGCTTCTCACACGATCACCGAAGTTAAGCAACTTCGAACCTGGTCAATACTTAGATGGGTAAACGCCTAGGAATACCAGGTACTATAAACTTGAACGTGAACGTGAGGCAATGGACAAGGTGCCTAAAACTTGAAGGTTGCATAATTCACAAGGGACTTTCTCTTTCTATCTACCTGCAGGTTTTTAGCATATATTCAATAATAACAATTTACTCGTTCGTGTTGTCTCCGGCTAATTGCTCAACTTCCGACCAGCAGCCTCAAAATACTAGGGATTCAATGTAGGAAGTCATCACGTTTGTGCTGGTCAATATTAACGAGAATCACCTAACCAGCATATTTCCTCTAGTCGAAGCTGTTTTCGTGATTGAGAGCAGCTTTAGTGAATAACGTTTTTTTTTTTAAATTTTATTTCACTATTTTTATTGAAGGAATATTGGCTAATTTAAAGTTGAATTGATCTAATAGGAAACAAATATTATTTACTTTTAGTTTAAAATATCGCAGAAATGCATTTTTTTAACACGGTGTTTTTAATAGGTGTTGTCAGATATATTGACAGATTGACAACTGGAAATTAATTTTTTTACGGGGGACATATCTGCAAAATTACTTGACGAATATAACTTAAGCTCTATTTTTATATAATTTTTTAACTGCCCAGTAATTTTTAAAATTTGTAAAATAATCTCCGTCATCTAATGTTTTATTGAATTGCAATATAACTACAGTAGAATCCATGACAGCCGGACTAAGAAGGCCTTCCGGATAAGAGGAACTGATTACAAAGTCTGGATATGAGGAGTTATATTTAGATTAAAATAATAGAACTGATTAAACAATTTAAATTGATTAAACTGGTTTAACATTTATTTTCAATGTTTTATAGTAAACAAAATAAGCTAATGGTGAGTGAAATATAACGGAATTTTTTTTTAAGGAAAAAGAAATAAATTATGTAATATTAATGAAAATTCATTAAATTAAGTATGCCACGTATGCAAAACAAATAATATAACGAGGAGTTTTTAATCGCTGTTGCATGATGATTCTTTCTCTTTTAATGTCATTCTTAACTTTTTCCGCATTTCGTTTTGCTTTGTTCTTGAAATTTTTTAAACGGAAGACACTTTTTAACTCTGCGTACGTCATTGGAATAGTCATAGCTGAATACCGGCTTTCTTTCCATAAAACTGACAACCTTTTTAATAGCTTTTTCAATTTCAGTGCAGGTTTCATCACAATCGTGTTTTTTTTTTATTTCCATGTTCATTGTGACAATGTGAACGTTGGAGTGTAATTTCTTTGGAAGATTTTATATCATACAATGTTGGCATTCTTATTTTGAACTCAGCCATTATTTACATTGAACTTTCACCAGCGTCTAGTCTGTTTAAAATTTCCACTTTTTGTGATAACTCCAAAGTTATTATTTTCCTCTTATTCCCATCATCTTTTACACCAAATACAAGCCATTTGGGTGAAATAAGCATAAGCAATTATCCAAAGTAAATTACTGTGATATTTAAAACTGTTGGCAGTAGATTTTCAGTAATAGGGTTTCTGTTTTGAAAAAAAAATTGATGCTTTAAATTCTCCAAGGATTTCTGCATATAACTAATATAAACATTAAGCCGTACAAAAATGAATTTCTCGAAATTTCATAAAACTAAATAAGTTGGTGGGTGACAAATTTAAGAAAAGTTTTTTTTTTACCAAGATTTTCTAACAAAGAAACATTTCTAAAATAATTTCATTCATTTGTGAATAAGTCCAGGAACGTACATTATAATCTAAAAATAATTTCGTTTAGCAAGAATTTTAAAATTTAAACGCAAAAAGAAGGCAAAATTCTTCTACATTTTAATCCAAATTTCAAACATTCTAAAACAGTTCAAAAATATAATTTAATTATTAAAAAAAAAACCTTTGGTTTTTCATCGTAAAAATAACATAAAGATTTTAACACTAAAATGTTGTTTTTATTAAGTCTGGGTAATTTTTTCGTCATGTATACTCATTTTCATCATGTATACTCATTTCCGTCATGAATACTCATTTTCGTCAAGTATACTCATTTTCATCATGCATACTCATTTCCGCCATGAATACTAATTTCCATCCCTTATACTCATTTTCGTCAAGTATACTCATTTTCATCATGCATACTCATTTTCATCATGCATACTCATTTCCGCCATGAATACTAATTTCCATCCCTTATACTCATTTTCGTCAAGTATACTCATTTTCATCATGTATACTCATTACCGTCATGAATACTCATTTTCATCATGTATACTCATTTTCGTCAAGTATACTCATTTTCATCATGTATACTCCTTTTCGTCAAGTATACTCATTTTTATCATGTATACTCATTTCTGTCATGAATACTCATTTTCATCATGAATACTCCTTTTCGTCAAGTATACTCATTTTCATCATGTATACTCCTTTTCGTCAAGTATACTCATTTTTATCATGTATACTCATTTCTGTCATGAATACTCATTTTCATCATGTATACTCCTTTTCGTCAAGTATACTCATTTTCATCATGTATACTCCTTTTCGTCAAGTATACTCATTTTTATCATGTATACTCATTTCTGTAATGAATACTCATTTTCATCATGTATACTCCTTTTCGTCAAGTATACTCATTTTTATCATGTATACTCATTTCTGTCATGAATACTCATTTTCATCATGTATACTCCTTTTCGTCAAGTATACTCATTTTTCATCATATACTCCTTTTCGTCAAGTATACTCATTTTTATCATGTATACTCATTTCTGTCATGAATACTCATTTTTCATCATGTATACTCCTTTTCGTCAAGTATACTCATTTTTCATCATGTATACTCCTTTTCGTCAAGTATACTCATTTTCATCATGTATACTCCTTTTCGTCAAGTATACTCATTTTTATCATGTATACTCATTTCTGTCATGAATACTCATTTTTTCATCATGTATACTCCTTTTCGTCAAGTATACTCATTTTCATCATGTATACTCTTTTCGTCAAGTATACTCATTTTATCATGTATACTCATTTCTGTCATGAATACTCATTTTCACCCATGTATACTCCTTTTCGTCAAGTATACTCATTTTTATCATGTATACTCATTTCTGTCATGAATACTCATTTTCATCATGTATACTCCTTTTCGTCAAGTATACTCATTTTCACCCATGTTTTTTTCGTCAAGTATACTCATTTTTATCATGTATACTCATTTCTGTCATGAATACTCATTTTCATCATGTATATCCTTTTTTTCAAGTATACTCATTTTCATCATATATACTCCTTTTTTCGTCAAGTATACTCATTTTTTTTATCATGTATACTCATTTCTGTCATGAATACTCATTTTTCATCATGTATACTCCTTTTCGTCAAGTATACTCATTTTCATCATGTATACTCCTTTTCGTCAAGTATACTCATTTTTATCATGTATACTCATTTCTGTCATGAATACTCATTTTCATCATGTATACTCCTTTTCGTCAAGTATACTCATTTTCATCATGTATACTCCTTTTCGTCAAGTATACTCATTTTTATCCTGTATACTCATTTCTGTCATGAATACTCATTTTCACCCATGTATACTCCTTTTCGTCAAGTATACTCATTTTTATCATGTATACTCATTTCTGTCATGAATACTCATTTTCATCATGTATACTCCTTTTCGTCAAGTATACTCATTTTCATCATGTATACTCCTTTTCGTCAAGTATACTCATTTTCATCATGTATACTCCTTTTCGTCAAGTATACTCATTTTCATCATGTATACTCATTTTCGTCAAGTATACTCATTTTCATCATGCACACTCATTTCCGTCATGAATACTCATTTTCGTCAAGTATACTCATTTTCATCATGTATACTCATTTCCGTCATGCATACTCATTTTCATCATGTATACTCATTTTCATCACGTATACTCATTTTATAGTAAATCTCTGATAGTCCCTATATATATAAACAACCTGATCAGAATTTTGAAAATATTCATTTTAAAAAAAAAAAAACATTTTCCTGCATATTACTTGCTCACTTTTGTCTCACTAGATTTTGAATTATAGCATGTTGAGTCCGCCAAATGTTTTGACTGACCTTTCAAGCACACGATGAACATTCCTGAACGTTCTCAAAAAACAAAGGCCTTGTTAAATAAAATGGTATCCTTGCACTTGCATATAAACACGTGCAACAAAATAAATCTTTACATTTGCCTTGATAAAATCCCTCAGAGGACGAAACGCATCGGCAAAGAACAGTTTTTCCTCGTTTTCTTTTTATTCACACGCACACACACATACATTTATTTATTTATTTATCTATTTTCGGATATTACATCGAAAAGCATGTCAAAATCGCTACACAATTGCAGTCGTGTTTCGATGCGTATCAATGCATCTCGTCAGACGATTGCAAATTAAATTTTAAATTAAATGCTACGGACGACGGAATTGTACTCTATTCTTTCTCATCTTACCTGATATATATATATATATATATATATATATATATATATATATAGTTTTATGGTATGCTATATTTATGGGTTAAAGTGGTCAATATTAGTGATAAAGCATATGTAAATATAAAAGTTGACATTGGAGTCAACACCAGAGGCGACCGTCTGTTTCATGTTAAATGCAATTGTCAGAACTTGATCGTTGTATTTAGCATCAAGCAAACTGTCATCTCTGTGTGTGTTGACTTCAATGTCCACATTTATATATATATATATATATATATATATATATATATATATATGATATGATAAAGTTAACGGCTAATCCGTATGGATAATTCCAGGGAGGATATAAATCTGGAATGCTCAATGTAATAACAGAGCAAGTGATAATTAATTAACAAATCGAAGATTTCAGAAATCCATGGTAACATTTAATTTCGCAAAAATCCGCTTTTGAAAGCGCCAGGCCTGACGAAGCGAAATCGAATTCTCGATTTTGCGAAATAAAATATTACCAAGGATTACAGAAGTTTCCGACTTGTTTATATATATATATATATATATATATATATATATATATATATATATATATATATATATATTTGTGTGTGTGTCTGTGTTATTTTTTCTTTGTATTTTACATACTCGTCATTTTTCATTTTTTGTCTCTTCAACTTTTTTTACATACTCTTTATTGTCTTTTCTTCTTCTTTTTGTCCCCCTCCTTTCTTTTTTAAATCTGTTCTCCTTAATTTTCAACCCCTTTTTTCTTTATTTGTTTTCCTTCTCCTTTTCATGGCTTCTTCATTTTTAACGCCTCCAAAATGAAACTGCTCTCCTTTATTTGTCTAAGAGAACATTTTTTTTTCGCCTTCTTTCAACTCGGCTGATGCTAACCTCTGGGATAGTAACGCATTTCGGGTTTTCGCCTTCTAACGTTTTCCACTGACTTGAAGTGAAACGATTTTATTGAAATAATTGCAAGTTCTGCAGCCAGGAAATTTGGTACACTATTGAGGAATAATGGTTGACAGGGTTTCATCTGATAAAAAATTAAGTAAAATTCGATGTTGTTTCGTTTTCTTTAGTTGTGTTGAAATCACGTGTGCATTTTATTGGCCACATTATTTTATGTACGCATCAAATTTAAATTCTACATTTGCTTTGTTCTTATTGGTTGTTTGGCCATCACGTGTATATCTCATGGCGTCTGTGTGTGTATGCTTTATTTTTTAAATGTTACCTTAAGTGTGTATTAAAAATTGCGTATAATGTAACGAATGCTTGAAGAGAAATGTGTGATAGGATGTTATATAATTTGTAAATGGATGGATCTTGCATACTTTTAGTTAAAATTAAGAATAATGGTTGGCAGTGATTCATAAAATTAGTATTACTGCTAACGAGCTTTAAAATATGGCTTTGATAATTATTATGGAATAGAGTTATAAAAGGAATGAGAGTTCGAATCCCACTGAGAGCTTATGTTTTATTTTCAACATTATACTGTCTACTCACTGTTGATAATAAAGATGTTTGACCAGATTTCATCTAAAAGAACAAAAATAATTCTACTATTGTGGTCTTGTTGATGAGATGAGATGAATGAGCCGGAACATCTGAAGAAGGATGAAGAATGGATCAGTTGAAACGTTGAATTTAAAACAAAATAATGAGAATACTAGTTGAAAACTGCAAGAAATAATGAATATACGTTAAACAAATAAAAAAACGAACACTCGTTGCCACTTTCGTAATGCTCGTTGTAGTAGAGGCTTTGTAATCGCAGATACAACTATAGTAACGCCGTTGAACAATGCTAGTGTCAGATGCCTTCGAATAGCACTCGCATTAATAGTACTTGCTCGATAATACTCGCTGGAATAGTAACCATCTGAATAGTGTATCTGAATAGTATAGAGAATGATCCGTATAGTGAATAGTATAGAAATAGTGATTCGTATAGAAATAGAGGATAGTGTAGAGATAGTGATCACTTAGGCGCCACGCTAATTCCCATATATACATTTCCTTTGCCATCACGTGATCCACTTATTTCAAATGTAATTGCCTATGTTTGCTCGCTGGTGATCTGTGTTCAAACTCCAGTGTCAGCAGTGTCACTTTACTCCTATATAACAACTGTGTTTTGCTGGACAATTTTTCTGTCCAGTAATTATCTTGCACCTTTATATGATGCCATATATGGTCTGCGGCTTCTGATGTGTATTTAGAGATACTTCCAAAGTAGAATCTACAATGTTATCCCTCCTGAATCGGGCATCTCGGCTTTCAACCATTTTCCCACCATTGTAATGTTGTTTCCCTGTGCCGCTGCTATAAATACTTTCATGGTAATTGTTCAGATGGGCTTCCTTCTTTGGTATCGTTAATACAAGGATTTAAGCGCAGTACTATATTGGTAGTTAGGTCCCATCATTTTACTGTTGAAATTATTTAAGCCTAAGTTCTATGCTAATAGATTCTTCTCTCGCACTTCTCGCCCGTGGGACTTTTCCGGCTTGTTGCTTTCCTGTCAATTACGATCTTCAAATATTTAAATGTAACATTAATCGTTATCTTATGTTTTTCTTAAACCTGTTCTCTTATTGTCCTGTTTCCTAAATAACGTTTTCTCAGTTGCGTTTACTTTCAGTAACCCCTTCGTGTGTTAGTGGCTTTGTCGCCTTCCTTGGGGTGAAATGATTTTTAAAAAATCATTCTGTTTCGTCTTCTACTGAAGGTATTCTTTCTTTTTTTTTTTTCTTTCCTTCTTTTTCTTTCCTTTTTTCTCTTTCTTGCTTTATTCTTCCTTTCCGGAACCTCTTAGCTTTCTTCCTTCTATTTTTTTTTTTTTTTTTTTTGTAGTGGTGGTGGTGGTGGTGGGGTAATTGCTTCTCTTTTTTTACCTCTTCTGTTCCTTTTCTCTTTTTTATCTCTTCTTTTTTTATCCCTTCTTTCATTTTCCGCCCCGCCCCCCCACACTTTATTTTTCCGTTTATTCTTCTCAACTTCCGAATTCCTTCGTATATCGCATCCATCTTTCTTTCACAAGTCAGATAGTCATTTTCCATCGCCATATATCCTGAGCTATATGACCCCCATCCCCAAACCCATCACCCAGCGCCGCTGTTACATTTATGATCACATCTTCTCCATTCCCCCTACCCCACGGATTCATCTGCTCCACCCAGCCCCGATCGCCTTTTCAAACACCCGCCCTACCCACTCCGTAAATCTCGACTCGAGATCGAAATCAAGTGGAGCCATAATAAATGAGAACAAGAGACACGAGAGAAATATTATTGGAATTATCACTGCCATTCTCGTCGAACGAGACGCCCTAAATCACAGCCGAAAGTCTCGTTAATGGACGATAATCTCGCGCGATAAACTGCCCAGTCACGAACAGGGAGAATTGAGTGTCACACTCGCAGTTTGATGACCGCTTCTTACGGTTTTTGTTATCTGCACTCATTTACTCCTTCTTCTTTTCTCCTTCTCTTTCTCTATTTCTCCCTTTTTTTTCAGATTATTACTGTTGTTATTATTGCTATCATCGTTGACATTCTAAATCATTTTTATTAATATTTGAAGCAGCTTCTTCTCCTCTTTCTTCTTCTTCTTTTTATTCTTCTTCTTCTTCTTCCCTTTCTTCTTCCCGTTCTTCTTCACTTTCTTCTTCCCTTTCTTCTTCTTCTTCTTCTTCTTCTTCTTCTTCCCTTTCTTCTTCCCGTTCTTCTTCTCTTTCTTCTTCCCTTTCTTCTTCTTCTTCTTCTACTTCTTCTTCTTCTTCTTCTTCTTTCCCTTCTTCTTCCCCTTCTTTTTCTTCCTCTTCTTCTGCTTTTCTTTCTTTCTTTCTTTCTTTCTTTCTTTCTTTCTTTCTTTCTTTTCCTTCTTCACTTTCTTCTTCTTCTTCACTTTCTTCTCCTTCTTCTTCTTCTTCTTCTTCTTCCTTTTCTTCATCTTCTATTTTCTTCTCTTCTGCTTCCCTTCTTCTTCTTCCCCTTCTTTTTCTTCCCCTTCTTCTGCTTTTCTTTCTTTCTTTCTTTCTTATCCTTCTTCACTTTCTTCTTCTTCTTCTTCTTCTTCTTCTTCTTCTTCTTCTTCTTCTTCTGCTTCTTCTCTTTCATCTTCCTCCTCTTCTTCTGCTTCTTCTTCTTTTTCTTCTTCTTTTCTTACATTTCTTTCTTTCTTCTTCTTCTCTTTCCTCTTCTTCTGCTCCCTCATCTTTTTCTTCTTCTTTTCTTATCTTTGCTTTCCTTCCTCTTCTTTCTTTCTTTCTTTCTTTCTTTCTTTATTCTTCTTCTTCTTCTTCTTCTTCTTCTTCTTCTTCTCTTTCATTTTCTTCCTCTTCTTCTTATTCCTCCTTCTCTTCTTTTCTTTCTTTCTTTTTTTCTTTTATTCTTTCTTTCCTCTTCTTCTTCTTCTTCTTCTTCTTCTTCTTCTTCTTCTTCTTTATCCTCTTCTTCTGCTTCTTCCTCTTCTTCTTCTTTTTTCTTTCTTCCATCTTCTTCACTTTCTTCTTCACTTTCTCTTTCTTCTTCTTCTCTATCCTCTTCTTCTTCTTCTTCTTTTCTTTCTTCTTCTTTTTTCTTTCTTTCTTCCTTCTTCTTCTTCTTCTTAATTGGAGATCGGAGAGCCAAGTTCCATTTCATATGGGGTTTATTATATTCTCTTACGAGCCTCTCTTTTTTTCATTGCAACTTCTCTGATGAGCTTTTTTTCCTGCCACCCTAACTACATTTAATTAAACGTGCATCAACGTCTCACCCGTTTACTGTTGAAATAGCAAAATGCAACCGTATACTTCTACTCCAACAGTTTCTTTTCTCGCACTTCCTGCCTGTGGAACACCCTTCCGTTTACTTGCTTCCCTGAAAACTGTAATCTTCAAAAATTTAAATTCAACGTCAGTCTTTTTGACTCCCGTTCATCCTTTGTCCTTTCCTCAATCCGACCAATACTCAGTCTTTTCTCTTCCTTTTACTCCGTGTAATCCCCTGCCTGCGTACTACCTGCATTCTAGCCTTGCTTGGGGTGAAATGATTAAAAAATAAAAGGAACGAAAATTACCCTTGGGTAAGATGTGAATCTTCTTATATTAACACCCCCTTGCTATGGGTTAACTATTAGGACATGTATCAGTAAAATATTGTAAAAACATTTTCTACACTATTTATATTATTCGGATTATTGTCCTCATCTTTGTCGCCATATTTGTTACAACGTTGAGGCCGTTGTACGCCCTGGCCTTC